GCATCCCATTTGCCCCTGGACAGCTTGGCTGGGCCTCCCAGGAGGGAAGGAACACGAGGAGACCTCAAGCTACAATGCAGCATAAACTTTAATGAGTCTAAAGAGTGAAACAAAGCAGTGCATGGTGGAAGGGACCCGGGCCAGGCTGCTACAAGGGCAGCTGACAGTCAGGCACCCCTTCACAGCAATGGGACACGCATATTCCTCCCAGCACACACCCCCCGGGAGGGGGTGATGAGCAGGGCCCCCTCTCAGCTTGCTTCAGGATGAAGCCATGGCACAGGACAGCAGGAGACAACAGGGACTCATGATGCGGAGAAGAACGCAGGAGGAGAAGAAGAAGACATCAGTTGGCCGTGTTTCCAGACAGCACAGGCTGGCACCTTGCTTCCCTCCCTCCTTTGCAGGAGGGCATGAGGGTGCTCAGCCCCTCTGGAAACCCTGGCCAGCAGCTCCATCCTCAGTCCGGCACATGGCTTTGGGCTTCCTGGTCGATGCACTCACTGGACGTCCAGCCCGCCTTTAGCAGGGCAGGCACCTTCTGCCGTAGTAGCGGCCACCAAGGCCAGAGAGGCCAAAGCCCCCAGAGGAGATGGGCACTCCCTCAGCACTCAGGATGCTGCCAACAGCAGCGGAGGTGGTGGATCCCACAGCGGTGTTCTGGGGGAAGGAGCTGAGGATGGGTCCAGGCAGGGTCACCACCACGGGAGACGGTTCAATAATCACCCGGGAGTCCTGGCACTGCCTGACGCAGGGCTCGTTGCAGCTGTTGGCAAGCGGGGTTGGGCCACAGGGACGGCACAGGTCGTAGCAGGACATGGCTGTGGGACGGAGGTGCACCTGGGAGAGAAGGCATGGAAAGCACAGGCAGCATGTGAGGCGCAGCCTGACAGCCTGCTCGGCAAGAGAAAAGGCACAAGCTGGGGAGCAGGGACAGGCTTTGCAGGGAAGAAGAGAGTACTAGGAGTCCCAGCCCCATGGTTTCCCCGCAAAGAGAGCCCAAGACTTTCTCCCACCTCCCTCCAGTGTGGCAAAGAGAACAGAGAGGCTGGGAGCAGGAGCAAGGAGCAAGGCTCCCAGCAGAAGTTACACCGAGGCAAAGACTCGGTCGAGGCCAAAAGGCAAAGAGAAAAAGGAGAAAGACAAGAAACAGGCAAAGGCACTTGCTACTTACCTTGTTCACCAAGGAGGAGAAGGCAAGAGAAGTGGATGAGGAAGCCTGCAGTTGGACTGGCTTTTATACTGGTCCAGACCGCCCCGGGCCCACAGGCACACTTTGCACATGTAATGTGTTTACCAACAGGCTCATCTTACATGCAAAGCATCACAATTAAAGAAATGGGGACACCGCTTGCATTCCCTGCAACGCTGCCTTTTCATTTCCCTGTTCATGCCATGCCCATTCAGCCTCACAGGCTCCTTTCAAGTGACAGTATTAGAGGGCAAAACGTTTCCAGGGGAAACGACCCGTCAGCGTAGGCAGATGGTGCAGCCAGTGATGAGGAGTGTCCCACCTCCCAGGTGATGCCATCGCCTTGCCCTCCAGGGTCTCACTTTAAGGATTCTCATAATGAACGGGGCATGTTTTCTTGCAACCCTAAAATACAATGCTAGACTTAAAAAGAATTTTCTGTGACGGGAGTCACTGTATCCATTGTGTAACCTACTACCTAACTCCATCAAATTTAGGCATAAATTTCCCAGTCACCTTGGATACCAGGTAAGGTTTTAGGCTCAGCGATTTAACATCAAGAGAAATCCATATGCTCTTTGCCTTTTCTTACCTTATCTGGAGAGCCTCCAGCAGCCTCCAATCAACAGGAGAAGGACATTTGAGAAGCAGAGACGATCCTCTCCAGCACACACGAGGTCTGCTCCCCACCCCGCTCCCAGCACCAAAGGTCAGTGCTGGGGCTTCCCAACTCTTCCCTCTTCATCCCCAAGGCTGCCATAGCCCAAGGCTTCTTTGATCCGGCACACCAACTCGATCACAGGCACCGAAAAAAGCTTGGAAGGCTTTCCATGAGACATCAAAACTCATCACAATTACGCATGGTCTGAGAACGTCAGCAGGACCCCGCTGGAGGCAAGTAGACGTCAGGATCTCTGTTTTCTCTTCCCAAGCATCTCAGCACACCCAGACACACAGTTTCTCACTAGCCCGTGCTAGTCCTGCAGTCAGCACCTATAGTGAGGGTCTGCCTCCAATGCCCTGCCGCACCTTGCTCTCTCTGATCACGTGCTGCGGATGCTGCCTTCCCTCCCTGGTACAATGTTTTCACCCCACCGTGCCTCTGCTGTCAGCTCAGCACGGCTCCTGAAGGTTGATGGAGAGCGCATTTCCTGGGGGCCTTTCTGCACAGCAGGGCACGGGCATTTTGCTGACAGCAGCTGTCTTTCAGGGAAGACAGGCCTTTAGCTAGGGGGAAAGGCATTGTAGGGGTTCCCACAGCATACGGGACAGCACAGGAGGTGCCCCTCACTCTACCTGAAGCAGGAGTGGGGGGAGCACTTGGCAAAACATCACCCGTGGAGGACTAGAGCGTGTGGGAGGAAAGGACAGGCAGCTTGTCCTCTCCTACATCACCAACTACGTGACAACTTCACACACGAGCAAGGTTACTTCCCTCCCCGATGTTGGTGGTCCTGCAGTTCAGGGCAGAAGGGCAGGAAGACACAATGGCTGCATCCTGGAGAGGTTCTTTCTTTCCTTCCTCTGGTGTGCAGGGGAAGGAGAAGGACTTGCTAAGCACCCTCCCGTCAGTGGCATGGGTCACAGGTCATGGAAACTCCCAAGCAGTGACTGTGCTGCTCTGCCAACATTGCCGAGTCCTTCAGAAAGGGGCCTGAGGGGCACGGAGAGATGGTCTGGGGGCAGAAGTGAAGGGATACAACTCCTTGGCCATCTGTCACACACACCACACACGTCTTGGAGCCGTGGAAGGCATCGCAGGCATTTGCTGAGAGACACAACAAGTCTGGTGTGTTCAGGACAAAGGGATGTGGGTGACTTTGGATGGCTTTGTCACATGTGAAGGACAGTCCCCTCCAGGTGACCATTTCAGTGGGACACCCACGCTCAACCCCTCAAAAGGATGCAAGTGCACCACATTCTTTCAGCCACCCCATTACCCTGGGTGGGATCACATTTGCTAATGCAACATATATATTTGTACCCTGGGCTGCTTTAGACAAAGTATTTCCAGCAGGCTGAGGGAGTTGATCCTTCCCCTTCACTCAGCACTCATGAGGCCACACCGGGAGTACTGTGTCCAGTTCTGGGCTCCTCAGTGCAAGAGAGACACGGACATGCTGGAGAGAGTCAAAGGAAAGGCCACGCAGATGATGAAGGGACTGGAGCGTGGCACATATGAGGAAAGAGAGAGAGCTGGGAAGAGCAGGCGTGGGGGAGGAGGGCCTCATTGAGGTATTTAAATAACTGAAGGCAAGGTGCAAGGAGGAAGGAGTTTTGCTCTTTCCAGTGCTGCCCATTGACAGGACCAGAGGCAATGGGCACAAAAGGAAACACAGAAAGCTCCACCTGGAAGTCAGGAAACACTTTTTCACTCTGCGGGTCACCAAGCACTGGAACACTTTGCCAGGGAGATTATGGAATCTCCAACCTTGGAGATATCTAAGAGCCATCTGGACCTAAAGCAACTGACTCTAGGTAGACCTCCTTGAGCAGGGTTTGGACCAGATGATCTCCCGAGGACCATTCCAACCTCAGTCGTGCTGCGATTCTGTGATTTCCCATTGAGCAGCTTAGCTGGGCATCCCAGGAGGGAAGGAACACGAGGAGACCTCAAGCTACAATGCAGCATAAACTTTAATGAGTCTAAAGAGTGAAACAAAGCAGTGCATGGTGGAAGGGACCCGGGCCAGGCTGCTACAAGGGCAGCTGACAGTCAGGCACCCCTTCACAGCAATGAGACTCGTATTCCCCCCCCCCCACCCCCCCCGGGGGAGGGGGTGATGAGCAGCCCCCCCTCTCAGCTTGCTTCAGGATGAAGCCATGGCACAGGACAGCAGGAGACAACAGGGACTCATGATGCGGAGAAGAACGCAGGAGGAGAAGAAGAAGACATCAGTTGGCCGTGTTTCCAGACAGCACAGCCTGGTACCTTCCTCCCTTCCCTCCTTGGCAGGAGGGCATGAGGGTGCTCAGCCCCTCTGGAAACCCTGGCCAGCAGCTCCACCCTCAGTCCGGCACATGGCTTTGGGCTTCCTGGTCGATGCACTCACTGGACGTCCAGCCCGCCTTTAGCAGGGCAGGCACCTTCTGCTGTAGTAGCGGCCACCAAGGCCAGAGAGGCCAAAGCCCCCAGAGGAGATGGGCACTCCCTCCTCACTCAGGATGCTGCCAACAGCAGCGGAGGTGGTGGATCCCACAGCGGTGTTCTGGGGGAAGGAGCTGAGGATGGGTCCAGGCAGGGTCACCACCACGGGAGAGGGCTGGATCACCACGCGGGAGTCCTGGCACTGCCTGAC